GTTTCTCAGCTGTTTCTTGATCCTTTGTTTCTCGAACTCTGCGACCTTTTGAAGAGCTTCTGCCAATATATTTCGTTTCTTGGGTCCCATCTTGAGGTGGAGTTTCATATAATACTGGTGTACAGCAGTGGCACTTATTGAGTAATCACTGCTGGAAGTTTAATATCGAATCTGAAAAAGAAAATTTAATACAGGCCTTATATAGCTTGAGTTGCTACACTCATGTAGTATGGAGAGACATCTAGAATCTTCTAGAAGTCTTGAAATCAATAGCTTATATTGCTACATTCAAATAGTATGGAGATATCTTTGAATTTAATATCGACGAATCTGAAGAAAAAGATTAAATGCAGGCCTTATATAGCCTGATTTGCTATATTCAAGTAGTATGGAGAGATCTCTAGAATCTTCTAGAAGTTTTGAAATCAGTATTGACAATAACTGAAATCAGTGGAAGGGAAATTGAGCAAGATGATGAATAGCTGTTATGCAAACTGAACATGTTTGGACAATTGTTGTATGTTTGAAATTGATTTTCATAGTGTTTTCACCAATTTTTGATGATGAAGACTATAATTTTCACCAGTTGTTGCCTTATTTTGTCTCCCTGCGACCTCAGATGGCCTCAAAAGTGAAATCAAATGTGTTCATGACATTTTGGATGAAATGATAGTTCTAATGAACCTATTTTGACATTTGTAGAGTGGTCCATATCGATTTGTATTGGGAACAAACAAACAAACAGACATACATTCACAAATATACAATAGATTATTCCGTAATTGATTGTGTTTAATATCCGATGTTTGAAACCTAAATTTTGACGTTTTTGTTTTTGGATTCAATTATTTTTAAATATCGATTTAGTGCATAAGTATTTTTTTTATTATTCCTGTAAACTCCCAGTGGAGCATAGGGCCGCAACAACACCTCGCCAACGGAAGGTGTTGTTGCAATTACTTGTAGCAGGTTGGTTTTACGGAGTGGAGTTGCTAGCCCCGCGCCCAACCCTCCCCCTTTCTCATCCTGGACTTGGGACCAGGCATGTTTGGTATGACGG